TATTGTAAATCTTGGTGTCGTCGGCATAAGTTGAACATGTGGAGGAAATCAATGCGGGCAGGTCACTTGTATACAGAATGAACAGCACTGGCCCCAAGACAGGTGCCTTGAGGAACTCCACTTGCTACATGATGAAGGTGAGACTGGCTATCACTGACGCGCACAGAGAAAGTACTCCCGGTGAGAAAAGCCTTAATCCACAGTAACAACTCGCCTCTTATTCCCATACATTCCAACTTAAACAGGAGCCTTCTATGTGGTACGCGATCGAAAGCCCTAGAAAAATCTAAGTAGATTATATCAACAGGAGTCTTTGTGTCCAGATACTGAGTCCAATCGTTGAGAGAGTGGAGAAGGTTGGTCATTATTGATCGACCAGGGAGAAATCCATGCTGATTCTTAGGGATAAGGTCATTTTAGAAAGCAAATGACAGGAGCTTATCTAATATGATTCTTTCAGCTACTTTGGCGGCGATAGGAACGAGACTTATTGGTCGATAATTTTTAGCGGAGGATTTCTCGCCCTTTTTGAATACAGCGGTAACAGAAGCACTAAGCCAGCATGAGGGTAGGGTATGAGATCTAAAAGACGATATGAATATCAAGCTTAATGGTAGGGCCAGTGCTGAAGCGCAGTTTTTAAGTAGAGCAGCCGTCATCCCATCTTTACCAGGGGAGGAAGAGGTCTTCAGATTTCGCAGGTTTATTTGTTCAGATGTTCTATTAGTTACCTATAGGTCTAAGTGATTTCAAATATGTATTTTTTACGACTATAGTGTATCTAAAATGTTTTTGAGAAAATAAATTGTTTCAGAAGTAAATAGTTTCATCGTGTTTTGTTTATAAATGCATATTTTGGTACAAATCTTGAAGTGGGCCAACTGAAGTGGGAAGGGGCTCGTAAATCCAGTCAATTTCGACTACCTCTCTTAAAGCAAATAAGGTAAATAAGCGACGGATCATGAGAAGAACAAGGGACAACACTCTTATTACCAAAGTTTTGAGCACAGGAAGAAGAGTTCACTTTTGGCGTTAGTTCTATTTCCGAAACGGCAGAGGTATTAAGTAAAAAATCTATATACTGACAAAAAACCGATAAAATGTCAACTTGTTGACTAAGTATGCACCTAGTTTATTCCGCGCTTGCTACAAGTGAACGTGAACTGAACGACAGCTAGTTCCAGGTTGAGGTCTTGTAGGAAAACCCTCATGATACCATAAGAAACCTACCTAATGTCAGAAAAAACCGACATAATATCACTTTTCAAGTTACGTAGTACACCTGCGGGTACGTTGAATAATTACAAACATTGACATTATTACACACTATATAACTATTTACGAACGCAGCCCTGTTGCATGTAGTTTCTTTGTCAGTGACTCTCATCTGACTTAGATGACACTCAGCATCTGTCTGCATCCATTTCCTTCATATCATCATCAACAAACTCTAGCGTTCCTGTGCTATTTATTTCTAAACAAACTGGGCGGAATGAATGAACAGACGAACGTGCCCCTATGCGTGATTTTTCACCGAGTCTGCATTAAACAGGGGTGTTCGGGGGACAACCTTTGACTTGCAGACACTCCTCCCATTTAGCAAGTTCAATATATGCCGCGACACACGTCATGCTGCGTTGAAGACAAATCGTGATACGACGTGCTGAAAAGACTCGCTCCTTTTTTTGCAGATGTATATTCATCAGCATCAACGTCAGCATCTGTCATCGTCCATTGTGCTGGTTTGTAAGAGCGGTTGAGCGATATTGGGACATATCAGCTTATTATGTGGAACATGGTCATACTTTTTCAGCACTGAGCAATGATCATTCGAAAAGGAACAGTACGTGGCAGGTACCCATTTGCTTGCCTCTTGGTTCGTGTGTCTCCTAGACTACACCCAAGGCCTATACCGCACTGATGAGCTTTTAATGAGCACGGAACAGTGCTTTCACGTTGGCGGAGACAGAGAACAAAGGCATCTAGCCAGTACAGGGTACTTATTCATACAAGTTTGATTTTTATTGTGGAAAAAGTTGGTATTAAAAATGAAAAGTCTATATTATGGTAATTGTTTGCAACTGCGTATATCATATTATTATACATTCTAAAAAATGAGCAGAAGTGAATCCTCATCCCTTTCATGGAACCATGCCATGCACCATAAAACATATGATATTCTCCAATAATTGTATAAATCTCTTCTAGGGATATATGTTGAGCAGTGTACCTCGTCCGGCTTGTATAAATATGGGTTATGACCTCAGGTGTTCCTCACCAGTTCTGCATACTTGTTATAAAGGAATACGTTTTCTGCCAGGTTTACGATTTAACTCTATTTTCTCTTGTTAGGCGAATAACACTCGATTAGTGTTTACTACAAACCTTCAGTATTTATCATGAAATGTCATACTTATTGACCGTGCAGCCGAAGTGTCAGTAATTCTTAATGTATAAAGTTACGTGAAAATCCACAGACACTAACGCAATCATCAGTACATTCTGACTGTAAGTACTGATCATGTAATATTCGCCTCATACTATTATAGGCATCGAGTATCAGGATTGTCTCAGTACTCTTTAACCCAAGAAAGGAGTTTTAGGCTGCTTCACAGTTTATAACATCTTTGATGTTTCCCCACTCCTGATGTGACCAGTTCAGGAAATACTAAGAGAGGTCATTCTTTTTGCACTGAAAAGAAGAAAATACTTAACAATGAAATTGAAATTATGATTTCAGCCTAACGAGCAGAAATGCTCTCCCAGAAGTACCCGGCCTGACCTAGAGATGGCGATAGATAGTTGAAAAATATCATTGTATTAGAAAGTATGCAACCTATAAAGCATATGTGTCAAGTTTGATGACGCCACGTTGTTTAGTATTTGTTTGGCAGCCATCAATACTGAACGTTTTCAGTGAATTTGTGAAAATGGAGAAAATTGGTTATGTGGTACAATACTTTTATTTCAAAGACCTCAGCCCAACCAATATAAAAGCTGAACTGTATTCTACTCTGGGCGAGTCTGCTCCTTCGTTTACAACAGTAAAACATTGGGTAGCAGAGTTTAAACGAGGTCGTATGAGCTGCCAAGACGAGCATCGCGGTGGTCGACAAATTGACAAAGCGGTACTGAATGATCGTCGACTGAAAGTGCGCGAGCTAGCAGACATAGTAGGCATTTCAAAAAGTGCATATTATCTGAAAATTTGGACACGAGAGAGCTGTGTGAAAGACGGGCGCCGCGATTGTTCACAATTCAGCAGTAACAGTGTCGTGAAGATGTTTCAATTGAGTGTTTAATGAAGTTTCACAGCTACAAAGCAGAATTTTTGCGCCGTTTCAGAACCATGGATGAAACATGGGTCCATCACTTCACACCCGAGACAAAGTAACAATCAAAACAATAGACTCAAAAGGGACAACCGGCTCCAAAGAACACGAAGACCGTTTCATCTCCAGGCGTCGGTTTTTTGAGATGCGCGTGGGATAATTTTCATTGACTATCTTGAAAAAGGTAAAACTACCAACGGCGAGTATTATGCAAACTTATTGAAACTTTTGAGTGATGAAATCAAGCAAAAACGGCCGCATTTGGTTAAGAAGAAAGTGTTGTTTCATCAAGACAATGCACCAGCTCACAAATCCGTTATTGCAATGGCCAAAATTAACGCATTAAAGTTTGAATTGCTACTTCATGCACCCTATTCACCAGATTTAGCCCCCTCGGATTATTTTCTGTTTCCAAACTTGAAAAAATGGCTCAGTGTTCAAAGATTTTCTAACGATGAAGAAGTGATGTCGGAAGTTAATGGCTATTTTGAGGAGCAAGACAGTTCTTATTATAAAAAGGGTTTCGAACTTATTGAACATCGCTGGGAAAAGTGTATGGAGCTCAAAGGAGATTGTGTTGAAAAATAAATACATTTTTTTACAAAAATTTTATGTTTTTTTCGTTGGGACGGGTACTTCTGGGACAACTCGTAGCTACTCGACTGCTCCTCGTATACACTGAAAACCAAATATGTCTGACAGCTTGCGTGCGAGAGAGAAGTGTGCATAGACACATGTGTTAGAAATAGATCGAAGATATTGTTTTATTTTGAGCTACACATTTTTGAATTGTGAACTGTGTCGAATGTGTTTAGGATCGATTCCGGATCGGTGCTTCATTTTAGGTCAAAGTAAAAGGTCAAGATCGCCATAAATTATGCAACATTGCATCATTGGTTCGCTTGGCAACACCGCATCGCGTACATTCCAAGCCGAGGTTTCTACCTCCATGATCATATAAGAGCGATTTTGGTTAATGCCCATCTGGCGCTCATTGGGGATTGTAGTTGTGCTTCAAATGGTTTGCACCTGCGTAGAGCAGGCAGTGATATTTTGTATTACGTAATGGTATTTGTTAGATTCTCTGACCACTCGCTATCGCAGAATGTAACAATAACTCAGTATGTATTGATTTTATCGCATCAAAAAAGAAATAAATAATTCTAATTCTCACAATATTATATTAGATGTTCGAACGTACCTCCTTCTTGGATTTGACAGTAACCTAATCTATAGTAGAAGCCTGTGCGAAGACTTTTTGGTGAATGCGGCAGATTGCACTGATTACAATTTTTCTCAGTGTACGAATATAGATGTAATTTACGAACTTGCTCTACGGAATTGGCATTCCCATCAGGTAGGCGGAATGAAAAATACAGTTTCGCTTACATATTTATGTATAAATCGTTAATTGGCTATGTAGGTTGTTCAAGTCAGCATTCCATAATTAATTTATTATTGCAGATATGCGCATGAATGAATTTAATAGACTGAAGCTTCATCACAGATCGGGCTCAATGATATACACGCCACTTTTTGCATCCTCATTACCGCTGTAGGTATCTCGAAACACGCAAACACACTAAGCTGATACTTTACGAGTGTCATACGTCTCTTACTTTAGTGACCATTGAGTTGTTAACGAGTTTACACGTGTCTTGTAGCAATATGGAGGTTAATAAGCGGGGAACTCCATAATTTAGCTCTCGTAACGTCTGAAATTTATTCGGTAATCTCTGTTACAATTTCTTACAACACTTGCCATATAAAACCATGGTATTTGAGAATAGATAATAAACTAACGCTTATTATCAACATTCTCCAGGAACTGGTATAAAGTATTGGAAACGCGGCATATTTCCGCATCAGCGTTGCTAGGCAACGCTGCGATGAGCTTCGCCATCCAGCCGTCTTCTATCTTTTTCTAACATATGTGTCTATAGATACTTGTCTCTCGTAGGTACACATTTAACTCAAGTCCTCAGACAAATATGGTTTTCAGTATATACAGGTGACTTCGAAGTTGAGTCATTTATTTTAACAGTGAGTAGATCTGATCAAAAGAAATGTTTTTTCCTTTACCATTTTTCTGGTAAAATTAAAGTAACAAAGTTATAGCCCTTTGGAAGCTTGAGTACCGCCCTGTCTCAATAATAATATCATGTGCTCGTGCTTGGCAACAACGGATATAATCCGCCTTATCGGTTCATCGCATCGGAAACAAAAAAGCGAAAGAATTTGGAACGATGTTTTTACAATTATTTTATTCAGTTCAGTTATACATACAGTCAGTGTCAGTCGGTAACGCGTGTGAATAGTGTCTGTTGCGTGGCTCAAACGAAATAAAAAATGGCACATGTTTATGCGGATCGGTTTCCCAATCGAGTGCAACCAACCCCTCGTGCCTTTGTTAATGTAGTACAACGGGCTCGTGAATCAGGTGACTTAAGACCTCACAGGGGACCTCACGATCAAATACTGGTCCGCACTGAAATACTTGTCGGGAGGATACTTTATAAAACAAGGTAACATTTTTTTTTAATTTTTTTTTATTTTTACACACATATTTTGGTTTATCTTCCTTCTACAATCATTATCTGGAAATTAATGACTCAACTTCAAAGTCACCCTGTATACACTAAGTGACATATAAATTCGAACACCCAGTTTAAATGGTTTTATTTTAATAAAAGTTGGTGAATGTATTTATTTTACTATAAATAACAAGTGAAAAAATGTTCAGCCTTATCAGTTGGACATTCCGGTTTTTATACTGCTTTTTTTTAATTCACTAACGCTCTAAAAATGAATATTTCAGCCGCAGTAAAGAATCAACGTTGGCGGATTTTGGTTCTTGACATCCTTTACGATCGGTTACGATGCCTAGAGTACGGAGACCTGTACGATTTCGTCAACTTGCAGTTAGAGTGCAAAGAAGTGTAGACACTGTGGTTAGGTGTTGTCAGGCATGGCTTCGAGAAGGCCGTACGCAAAGAGCAAGGGGCACTGGACGCCGCCGTAGAACAACATACCGTGAAGATCGCCGCCTAAGATTATTGGCCTTAAGGGACCGTTTCTCCACTACCAGGTCCATTGCAAATGAATGTTTTGTAGAACACGGAAGACCTATTGGCATGCGAAGTGTTTACCGACGAATGAGAAGTTTTAGCTTGTTTTCATACCGGCCACACTGGGTCCTCCCTTTAACTCGAGAACTCGACGTAATCGCCTTGAGTGGTGCAGACAACGGTCACTCTGGGATCAGGAATGGAACAGTATTGTCTTTAGTGACGAGTCTCGATTTTGTTTAGGCATGCACGATGGTCGTGCCAGGGTTAGAAAGCGACGTGGTGAAAGGAGGAACCCACAGTTTTTTGTTGAAAGACATGTTCATGACACTGTTGGAGTTATGGTTTGGGGTGCTATAGCTTATGGTTCCAGGTCACCTTTAATCTTCATCAGAGGTAACATGAACGCGCAGCGTTATATCCACGAAGTTCTAGAACCCCATCTTTTACCCTATCTTGACTCCCTGGCATATCCAACTTTCCAACTAGATAATGCCCGACCACATGTTGCAAGAGTCACAATAGACTTCTTTCAACATAATGATGTCACATTGTTACCATGGCCACCAAGATCTCCCGACTTATGCCCAATTGAGCACGTGTGGGATATGATGGGTAGGAGATTGCTCAATTTGCAACATCCTCCTCAGACTCTAGAAGCACTTCGAGAGGAGTTGGTGGTTGCCTGGAATGAGATAACACAGGAGGACATTGACCACCTGATCAGAAGCATGCCTAGGCGCGTTGGAGAATGCGTAGCACATCAGGGTGCATCCACACATTAATAAAGGTCAAAGGGCTTTAAAGCAGTGCAATCATTTTGAAATTTTCATCATTTACTTATTATGCTTCATTAAGTACTTATACAAAATTTTATTAAAATAAAACCATTTAAACTGGGTGTTCGGATTTATATGTCACTTAGTATATATATATATAACATCCTCACATACTACTGTAAGTTAATTTAAATTCATTTTACACAATTGTTGCTACTGTTATCATTGTAATTGCAGCTCCTGATGACGATGGCAAAGACCATTGAAAGCTAGAGAGAATAAAAAGGTATAAAGGGTCCTCCTTGCTTATATTTTGTCGAAGTACCCAACAAAAGGCGGAAGCTTTAATTTTTCACCTAACTGGTCTAGACGATAATGATCACGTCTCAAGTTATATATATATATACAGGGTGTTCCTTTGAAAATTTCTCACCCGCGATTTATCGAAAACCACTGATTAAAAGCACACAACAAGCACACACAATAGGGCTTATAGAATGGCCTATTAGATCTCCTGATTTGACGCCATTAGGCTTTTTCCTATGAAATCTATTGTGTTTACTTTCCAAATTGAAAGTGTGGATAAACTTCGTTAACGCATCATCGAAACCATAATATCCCACAACATATTTTTGAAAATGTCCATCAGGAAATTGAACATCGCCTATATCATTTTTTGGCCAATAACGGGCAACATTTTGAACACTTATTCAAATAAAAAGCGATATTTTCTTGTCCTTTTGTTTTCTGTCTGAACAAAATAAGATATATAAAGATTTTTCTAATTTTCTTGAAAACGAATCGACCGATCTTACAAAAATCAAACATCAAAATAAAGGACTTCGAATGACCTTTCAAATTAAGCTGTTACCCGAAAACCCTTGTCATTTAAAATTTTCAAGAGGATGACCCTGAAGGGCAGGGCGGTGAAAGGGGATGAAGTAGTTTTTTGTTAAAGAAATTTTACCCCTTGACAAATCTTTTGACGTATCTCGGCGTATTTTCTTTTAATCTGAGGTCGTCGACAAATCCGTGGGGGATGTTTTCAAATGAACACCCTGTATATATGTACTCTATGTACTCTAAGCCCTCTGGCGTAATTTCCGACACAGTTGTGAACACAGCATTTGTAAGGCATTTTGAAGAAGTAAAGACGCACTCGAAATACTCAAAGGCATATAAGACCACGGTTTTAAAATTAAGTAAATAAATAGCACAACATTCGGAAGGTGAGGTCAGGGGTAGCTAGGCTGCTAGCTGGTACGTTTAATGTCTCCACATTTATATTTTGGATTGGAAGGCTAGACTTAGCACCTGACAAACAGACCGACAGACAAGCACACATCTGAACAGCATATCTCATTTTCGGTATCCTTCGCGGTTACAATGCTTCATCGTCTGTTAGCGTGAGAAGTAGACGGAATTAGTAATGAAATTCTAAAAAAAAAGGCAAAATCGAAGTTCTAAGGTCAATTTCGTTTTTAAAATAGTAATACGTTACTGTCAAAATTGAATCAAAATCCCACTGATATCTTTATAGTTTCTGACGAAAATCGACTAAATGACGATTTTGCATCATGTGCCTATATGGTAATATCCAAAAATTTATAATTTGATTTCGAAATGCTTCATAGTCAGAATATTAGCTACTACGAGGGATGTCTTTTAAGTTTTGCATATAGAAACATAGTAGGACGCGCGGATCGAAGGTCAGTACTGAATCTTAACCTCACTCTTTAGTAAATTTAAATTCAAAGTTTCACAACAATACGTGCAGTGTTCTCACTACAGTGAATATTTAAGTGTCACTAAGTCACTAGAAAAATGGAACTCGGCCGAGAACATTTTCGCACCATAATTTATTATCTTCAGAGACAATTAGCGCAACAAGAATGCCTTGCTGAGTTACTGTCTGTTTTCGGCAACGAAGCGCCACATCAGTCGACAATTTTCCGTTGGTATGGAGAATTGAAACGTGGACGGGTGAGTCTTAGCAACGATCCCAGGGTGCGTGCACCAAAAACGGCAGTCACCCAGGAAAACGTCGATGTTGTGCGCAAACTCAACATTGAACATAGACATGTGACATATCGTGAGATTGAGTCGACCATGAAAATCTCAATGGCCTCAATTCAAAAAATTTCACACGAAGAATTAGGAGTAAGAAAATTAGTTTCTCGTTGAATACTCCACCTATTGACTGAAGAGCAGAAAGCAGCCAGGGTCAATTGGTGTCAAAAAACGCTTGACCGTTTCAATTCCGGAAACTCAAAAAATGTGTACAGCATTGTTGGTGGTGATGAATCGTGAATTTTCTGTTATGAACCAGAAAATAAACGACAGTCGGCTGTTTGGGTGTCCCAAGGTGAAGAAAACCCAACAAAAGTCATCGGTTCTCGAAGTGTTTCGAAACAGATGGTCGCGACATTTGTGTCAAAAGCAACAATTCCTCTTAATGAGCAAAGAACAGTTACTGCGCATTGGTATACCACCACTTGTTTGCCTAAAGTCATCACCGAGCTCCGAAAAATCAACCCCGAAAGAAGAATCATCCTCCACCAAGACAATGCAAGCTCACACACAGCCCAAAAAACAAGGCAGTATTTAATGGAAGAAAACGTGGAATTATTGGACCATCCTCCATATAGTCCCGATCTAAGTCCTAACGATTTCTTTACTTTCCCGAAAATTAAAAACAGCCTGCGTGGTCAAAGGTTCCAGTCACGAGAAGAAGCAGTTGACGCATTCAGAAATGCCGTTTTGGATCCGCCAGTAAACGAGTGGAATAAGTGCTTCGAAAATTGGTTCGAGCGCATGCAGATGTGTATTAATCTTCGTGGAGAATACTTCGAAAACAATAAAGTCATTTGAAACTACCTACCGTGTTGTTTTATTTCCATATGCAAAACTTAAAAGACATCCCTCGTAATCGCGTCGAGGCTAGGAATTAGAATAAATCGTTTTGTCATCAGAGTTCTGTTATCCCTTTTCAAATAAGACAGCGTTTAAAACTAAACGGCATGTATACTTTATCTGATGTCACTTGAAACACTGTGAAATACCGGGTGCGTTTTATATATCTATACTTAACACGCCCTGTTGCTGCAAAAATCGCCAAATTTCGCAGCAAATATCCCCCGTATAAGATCAAAGGCAGTTTCACCGGTCCACGTGGAGTAAAGCACGCCTATGCGTGGACATAGCCAAAGAGAAAGCGTGTATTTCAAAGCTCCGAACAAGTGCAGGTGGCTACTGAAAATTGAAACAGTTTAGCCAGTGCCGTGTAGCGGTGAATAAACGTGTTTTCTTTAGTCTGTACCGTGTTTTTTCATTGATTTTATTAGTTTGTGTGTTTTTGACTTTTGAATACTCAGTTTACTTTTTGATTTAATTGTTGTGTTGATTGTTCTTGTGTGTCCTAAATATGGCTCTTTAGAGACCTTGGGAAAATGCTCCAAGCCACGAGGAGATGGTTAATGAACCTGTGCAGGCAGAATTCTTTCATAAAGATTTAGAGGAACAGACCCAAAGAGTAATCCTAAATATGTATGATTGTCTGAAAAACGAAAATCCAGATTCCTCGCAAAATCAAATTTTAAACAGAATTTGTATCCTGACAAAAATCAGTCGGTCTACCATTTATCGGGTTATAAAAAGGGGAGATGTAGTCAACCATTCCTTCCACAGAAAGCGCATAGGGTAAAAATTAAAAAGAATAGACGTGGGTTTTCAGGAAGATATTCGTCGTATAATATACGGATTTTATAATGAAAATTTGGTGCCCACGTTGGAAATGATACGGGATAAATCAAAAGATTATCCTGAAGATTTTTATAATTACAAATGCTTAAACTCACTGCACTGTATTGTAAAACTGTGTGGTTTTCAATACAAAAAATTAGATAAAAGAATGGTGATTATGGAGTCGTCTCGAATCGTTGAATTGCGCCAAGAATTTTTGCACAAAGTTATAGTTATAAGTCTATAGAGAGCAGAAAAGAAATCTGATTTACCTGGATTCAACGTGGTATGATACCCATGATGTTGTGCAGTACGGCTGGGTTGACGACAGCAACAAGTGCATTTTAAATGCACCATGCAACCGTGGAAAACGAATCATTATTCTCCATGCTGGCAGTGAAAATGGATTTATACCTAATGCCTTGCTGTTATCTGCCAAAAATATCAAAGAATCATGTGCCGACTATCATGAGGACATGACCTCCGACTTATTTGAAAAGTGGATAGAGCAGCAGTTAATACCAAACATTTCCCCAAATTCAGTGATTATTATGGACAATGCGCCATACCATTCCCGACCGAAAAACAAAATTCCTAATACAGGCACAGAAAACAAGACATTATTGATTTTATGAAGGATAAGGGAATGGAAATACCACAAAAATCAACCAAAGCCATATTATTGGATCTTATTAAAAGACAAAAATTTGAAAAAGAGTATGTTGTTGACAATCTGCTTCAGCAAAATGGCCATGAAGTATTACGTCTACCTCCCTATTACTGCATTTTTAACCCGATTGAGTTGGTCTGGGCTGCTTTTAAAAAAAAAGTAAGAAAACATAATCAGACCCCTCAATTAAGTGAATCGCTATTGGCCACAATAAGAGATGCAGTATCTCATATTGCTGCCACAGACCTATGGAAGCAGTGTTCTAGGCATATTATTGAAAAAGAAAATGAATATTGCGTTTTGCCTCCTGTAAATCCCGTTGTAATTCCTCTACAAGATGACTCTAGCGACAGCTCCGAAGGCGAGGATGATATATAAATACCTATAATGTAAGTCTTTATATACCTTTTTATATACCTGCCTGTTATGTAAATATTTGCCTGTCAAACGTTGGAATTCTGTAATTTTTCCATTTCTTAACTTTCAGTCAACATAAATTAAACTCCCAATATAAGTATTTTTTATCCCAAATCAAAAAAATAAGAAGATAGTAAAATCCATTTATTGTGGTATAAAAACATTATTATTATCGTTCTAAATAAATGACCGCGCGCCTATGATACGTCATGAAATTACAAAGGACGCGCCGACCAAAGGTTTTTATGCTATTTCAAGTGACTTCGGATAAAGTATACGCAATTCCAAATAGATAGATATTTTTAGCAAGAAGCCGTCCGAATGCGTTTAAATCCTTTGCGGGAGCCTCGTAGCAATACGTCTTTAAAGCTACTAATTGGAGAGCCCATGTCTTCAAGTATTTATTGGTGTAATAAAACAAATGTCTTACATAACGACTATTAGGTAGAAAGTATACGGGTATTCATATATTAACTTGTTTGACTTCTTACAGCACATGAGTAATTAATTGCGCCTATTCATAATAAGTAAATATTCATTAAGTTTTTATGCAAATTGCGATGTAATTTATAAAGCACTCTTCATGATTTATCGCCTAGAAGTAATAACATAATCACCTGGTAAGGAGTAAATGTATTATTTAAAGCCTACGCTAATAGGTCTTTTAATATTCAAATGGACGTTGAAACAAAGGAAGTTCCTCGAAAAATTACGGGGATAATCACTATACGTTATCTTTTTACATGTTAGCTAACAGTATATCATCGGGTAATTTCTCAATTTTCGCTCGCCGTGCGGTGTACAAATAATGAGGTAAAATGTTTCATTGTACGTTTTGTAATATCTGGCTTCATATGCGTGAGTTCCTATAGTTGCACCTGCAACTATGATTTATAGCTCACATTATTCCAGTTTAATTGCGGGCTGATTAGGTGTTGGTTATTCTATTGTTCGACAAACCATTACTTCTCGTCAATGAGATGCAAGTTATGTTGGCTGTATAGAAATCAGTAAGCCTTTTATTGCGAGCATTAAGTCAATGTGGTCCAGTTTTCTAATCGCAAATCGACTTCCAATGCGCTCTTCTCACTAAATCCAACCGAATGGCAACCCAACTTCAACCTCATTCCGATTTCAGTTGCCTTGCCTTGTGTTCCTACTGAAGCAACTGCCAAGCAACTGGTCAACAACTCCACTATCGGTCCGTGAAATTAGCACAAACAGAACTGGGGCCAGAAATTAATTTATGCCATTCGTTAATTTTTCTATCATTTGTCCACATTTGTCCATCAATTTATTTGATTTTCCACCGATCGTATTCTTATAAAAAAATAAATATCGGGGCTAACTTCACACAGCTCCAAAATTGGTCCATCGTTTTGTGTCCCATTTAGATTCATTTGTCCATCTTTTGAAGTAGGAATGGTCCTCGCCCTTATGAAAAAGAGCCGGAAGCGTATGGCTGTCTTGCGCTCAGCCTGTACCCCAAACTCTGTATTCAAAATTTCCGAAAACGACTTGTTAGGAATACCTAGATTTGTCCCACTTTTTTATTAGGTTTGTCCCACTCTTTCCGTTAGTTGTGTCCCACTTTTAAAACTAGCTCTCAAACTGTATATCTACAAATAAGGGGCCATTCAAGTATTACGCAGATTTATTACAATTATGCACCCCCCATGCCCCTTGTCAGCAAAAGTAAGCAAAGCCCTCTCCCCCCATGCTTACGTAAACATTTGTCAATTAATGTATTGTTTTTTTTTAATATTATAATTATAACGTTTAACCTATTATCTAGTAATTTAAATAGGCCACTTCTTGGACTACAACATTCTGCATTTCTACATTTTACAATCTGAAGCAAGTACTGGCTCTCACGCACATGTTCTGAATATCATTTATTGTCTGAAAAATCAGGAAGATCTTGTTCACCTGCCCCAACATATTTTGCATTAACATTATAGCCATCAATTTCCATTGAACTCAATACTTCAGCTAATTCATTTCCTGCAAATTCGAAATTAGATCTTTCTAAATGTTCATCAATTGTAACGCCACGTTCATTCAAATGAGACCCAAAATGGTCATGAGGCAATATTATACCAGCCAGTTCCCGACTAAGAGGAGCCATTCTGCGCTCTACTCTGTTATACGCACTTCTTCCAGGAGCATTGGTAGCTAAAAATAATGCATCGAGATCATGTTCTATAGCAAACCCTATGACTTTTTGATAACGTGGATTTTCATCTGGCCCTCCATCAATCGTCATGATTACCACTGGTTTTACTAGTCCATGGTCAGTTTTAGCTAATGGTCGAAGCTCTTCAAGTTCGAGAAGCGTCTCGAAATCCTGAGCATGAGTATTAGCAGTAGATGAACTATGCTTTCCACTTCGAATAGCGATGCATGTTGGTCCAGAATATCCAACGGCTTGCGGTTGTCCTGGCATATTGGAAGTGATTTTGTTACCAGCATAAACTGATGGTAATAATTTATGACGCTCAGCGATTACCCAATCGTGATCAGGCAATTTGATTCTATATTCCATGTGCATTAGAAGAGGTGCCTGCTTATTTGCCGCAGTTACGCCAATAGGGACTCGAGCTTTATCATCTTGAGATATGAAAAATACTTGATCTGGTATGGATGCTATGTTCTCTAAATAATGAATTGATGTTTCAGCGAACTTGCTACTCGTATCTAAGTCTCTCGTGTGTTGATCAGTTTGGACCCGAATGAGCTTAATAGGGACTGTCGATACATGTCTTCGTCCCTCTGCAGAATTAGATTTTCTGGGAATCAAACGACGATATGTCCCACTGCGACTAATGTCGAGTTCTATTTTACGTAATTCTTGTGTGAGCTCATCAAGAGTTTTTACGCTGCGAATTGATTCCGTTCGTCTTCTATCATCTGCTGCACTCCCAAATAGAGCTATATCTGCGATTGTTTTCAATAGCGAATGTTGATTGCTTTCAAGATTAGGACGTCCCACTGAATCCCTCAGAGATAGTCTTTTTTTATTTCTGGATTTTCATGAAAAATATATTCTAACTTTCTTTTCATACCATCCCTGTGTTTCTTCTGGGCAACTACCTGCGTTTTGAACCTTCCTGTTCAAAGACTGTTTTGCTGTTTTTATTTCCTCGCGCAACTTAATGATCTGTTTATCAACTTCAGCACGGCTTGGAATAGTATCTCTGGCAGAATACGAAGCATTCAGATTTTTTTTGAGTAGAGCAATCTTATTTTTCATAGCTTCCTGGGAAGTTTTTGCTCTCTGTTTATCTGTATTTTCATTAATTTCGCATTGCTGTTGTGATTCATTACCGGGTTTTATTTTATCTTCTTCCTCTTTTTAAATATTTGAAGTTGACTGTATAATTTGCGTTTTTTCTGCAGGTTTACAGGTTGCCTGAAAATAAAAAGTTTCTATGGCTTTTGCTAAAGATTCTCTTATTACGCTACATAAATACGTAAGTATGGCAATATATACATATATGATAAATACAAAACCCTATGGCTTTAAATCTAATATGTTTAAATGAGCAACTCGTTCCGGTCACAAAATACAGGGTATTAGTTTTCTGTATATATGTATAAAACTAACATCCTGTACTTTGTGACCAGTTGACGGAATCAATCATAAGAAATAAATCTATAATATAATGAATATTACGTCTATACTTTGAGATAGGCCATAATATTTTCTAATCAGTAAAGAGAAACTTTTTGGCGATTTCTAATATTTCTAATACTCATAGGCATCTAAAATGATTTCGTCACTCACCTTAGAAAAAAATTTAGTAGATTGGATTTATTCTTAGTCGCCGCTTGCAATTCTTCTTCGATTCTCTTAGATACAATAATATCTAGTTCCTTGTCGGATTTTGCTTGTAATTTGTAATTTCGCCACACTTCGTTAACTAACTTTTGTACATTTTGTACTTGTATGAGATTTTTTAAAACTTTCAAACAATTTTTGGTCTAACTTGGGTTTGTCTATGTGAAACGACATCTTATTTAAACATTAGACTTTGGCTAATGGAATCAATGGTAACACAAATGTTAACTTTCTTTACTATGCTTACAATACGTCTACTCGCTATAGTATCCAAACGAAACAATACACTGATAAATTTAGACAAGTGAACACCGCGCGGTAATTCCCCTACTCGGTTCTAAAGCGAGTAGGGGAATTATTTTAATTAGAAAATGTTCCTCTAAATGTGAGACAGAATATGTGATTCCTACATGGCCGGTCTTCACCACATTTTAAACGAGCAGTTCATGAACATCTAAATAATGAGTTTATTATAGGGCGCAATAGGCCCATTTCTTGGCCTGGGCGCTCCTACGATTCAACGCCTTGCGATTTTTTTCTGTGGGGCTATTTGAAAGAGTTGGTGTATCATGATGGAGCAGTAAATAAACTGGAAGAACTTCAACAGCAAACTGAAAATGCTTGTGATTTAATTCTTGGACACCAGGATTTTATTTTCGATGCTTGAAAGAGTCGTGGATTCTTCGAGCAAGATTTTGCGTTAAATGAAGAAATGGGGACAATTTTGACAGTTTTTTGAAAACGGTTTCCAATAACTTTTCATAATAAAAACTAAATCACTTATTATGCAATTGTTATATAGATGTTTTTTGGTATTGAGTCTATCTTTGAGGCTTCCTAGGCAAAGACACCGAGCTAGAAGGATGTATTGTGTATGAAAGCTTAGTTACTCGGTCCAGCTAGAGTCAAGTACCGACACAATTTTTTTGGACCATCAAGTTGATATTACCGTCAAATTGCCAATTTTTTTTTATCTTATCAGAAGGCATCCAGACCAGTACTTATGCCTTGTGGAAATTGAAGTCCTGAAAGATATGTTTATGTTACAGATAAAATCCTAATCCAACCACATAGTCCATAATTTTTTAGGCCTTTCATATAGACCAGACCATCATTATCA